ATTAAGTGATTGAGTTTTAGGATTGTTAATGCACTGATTTTCTTTCAATTGAGTTTCCTGTCACCGCAACACTAAATTCTTATCACTTTGGTCCCCTGATGGGCATCTTCCCTTAAGTGTATCATCAATGTGTAAAACTCACGTTTCCCTAATGCCAGCCGAGCACAGCGTGCAACAGCTCTTGCCCTGTTCTTCCACAAACACAAAATATACCCAGGGAGCGGGAGCAAGGAGCAGGGCCTCGGCAGGAGCCGGGAGATGGGATCCCGTAGGAAATGGGATGAATCCTGGCTCTGCGGACCACAGAGCACCTCCGCGCTCGGTGCGAGTTCTGGAAAGCGTGAAAAATGTAGATGGTGGGGGAGGGGAAAAAGATATATGCTTAAAAAGAAACTGGTGATATTTGGGGTTTCGGAGGGCACAGACTGCAAGGTTCACACAGGAGGCTTTTGCGAACTTTGTCAGCACTTTTTTCTCTCTTTAAAAAAAAAATACAAACGCTACTTAGGGAGTTGGAGGGGCACGAAGCGGAGCGGAGCTAAATTTCTCTGCAAACTTCATGCTTTCTCTAATTGTTCTTTTGAATGTCTGCCTCCAAAACAGCTTTGCTCCAAACTCCAAGCTAGTAGAAGGCAGTATCACACCAAGAAAGGGCGGAAAGAAGAAAAAGAGAAGGAGCAGTAGCAAGTTTTTTGGTTTGTGCGTTTTTATTTAAGAACTCTTCTACATATGGCTGCAGCTCATGGCAGCGACGATTGGAAATAAGAGAAAGCAAGAACCAAATAATGTCTCATTAAAATGAGACACRGAGGAAGATGGGAAACGAGAGCAGGCGAGAGGTGGCTGGCTGCAGTTATGGGCAGGCGGGCAGCGTTGGGGCCGGCAGCGYGGCTGCACCGGCTGCTTTCCGGTGGTCGCCCGTTTTTCTCATCCCGGCGCTTTCTGCTTCTGCCTGTCCCAGGGTGCTGGCTCCCTGCGGCGCGGGCGGACGGGATCGCGGGGCGCAGGGCCCTGCCAAGGTGAGCACGTGTGCATGTGCCGGGCTGTCCTTGTGTACTGTACAGGGGTGTCTGTGTGTTGGGGTGTCGGTGTGTGCTGTCCGGGGGTATCCCAGTGTTGGGGTGTCTGCGTGTCACATGTACAGGAGCATCTATGTGTTGGGGTGTCTGTGTGTACCTGCACAGGGGGGTCTGTGTGTGCTGTGCA